ACGACGATGGGAGGACGATGATGAAAGGACGAGGAGGGGGGAGAGGGAGGACGAGGAAGAACAGGAGGAGGAGGAAGGAGGAGGAGGAGGACGATGACGATGAGGACGAGGAGGAGGAGGAGGAGGAGGAGGAGGAGGAGGAGGAGGAGAAGATCGCCATCGACAGGGAAGGTGGGGGCCACGAGGTCCGCCGGCTCGACAACGCCCGCGTCGCCCGCGCCCGCCCCCTCACTCTTATCCGCAATTGCGGGGTGCTATATATTATTTCAAACGTTTTTTGAGCTATGGAGCCGTGTGGAGGAAAATTGTATGTGTTGTGGGGCGATCTCTCGTCGATTCGTAGCTTTCTTGGACCGTTCTGGGAACCTTTGGAACCTTTTTGGCCCGTTTGGGGGCCTCCTGAGGCTCCAAGTGTGCGGATGATGGATTTGCCCCCCACCCACTCCCCCTCCAAACCGGCCAGACCAGGCCACCGGGGGAGGGGTTTGGGGAGGGGGAAGCATCTCACACGCCGTGACCCCAAGGGTTCGGCGGATTCGCCCAGCTTGTCCAACGCCTATCAGGTACGAGAACGTGTCGTTCCGTCGGGTGTGCCACTCAAGCGCTCTTGTGAAGCACAGGGCCCGACGCGTTGACATCCATGCGGGCGACCGAAGCGCCTGCGGGGGAGCCGCGCGCCAGAGGAGGGAGGGAGGGCGGTGGCAAGGAAGGGAGGGAGTAGGAGGGAGGAGACGGGAGGGAGGGGGGAGGGAGGAGAGAGGAGAGAGGAGAGAGGAGGGAGGAGGGAGGAGGGAGGGGGAGGGGGACAAGCTAGGTGCGCTCGCGTCATATGTGGCGTCCTACCCCTCCCTCCATCCCTTACCATGGCGCTGTCTCTATCCGCGAAACGCGTGTCGTAGCGGACCTGGGCTCCGCGCGCGCGTGCGTAGGTGGGTGGTGGTGCACGTGCGTGCGTGGCGTGCGTGTGTGCGTGGTTGTCGGTGGTGGTGGTGGTGGTGGTGGTGGTGCTGGTGGTAGTGGTGGTGGTGGTGGTGGTGGTGGTGATGGTGGTGGTGGTGGTGCTGGTGGTGGTGGTGGTGCTGGTGGTGGTGGTGTTGTGGTGGTGGTGGTGCTGGTGCTGGTGGTGGTTGTGGTGGTGGTGGTGGTGGTGGTGGTGGTGGTGGTGGCGGTGCGGCGCGGTGGTGGCGGGCGGATGGGCGCGCGAGAAAAAGGCCCGCGCTGGGGCGAGAACGCCATCCTGAACGACGGAGGCCAAACACCGATCCGAAAATGAGGCCCACGCTGCAGCGGGAGCACGATTCGGAACGATTCGGGAGCAGAAATGAGGCTGGCGCCTCAACGAGAGCACAATTTCGGGAAAAAATGACGCCGGCGCCTCAGCGAGAGTCGTTTCCGGGGATTTCCCGGGAATCCTGTGTGTAAAAAACAGTACGCGGAGGGTGCGCGGCCATCACCCGGACGCCATCAGGGGAAGAGGGAGAGTATTTTTATATTGAGTAACTGTTGAGGAGGAGGAGGAGGAGGAGGAGGAGGAGGAGGAGGAGGAGGAGGAGGAGGAGGAGGAGGAGGAGGAGGAGGAGGAGGAGGAGTTGGACGAGGAGGAGGAGGCGGAGCAGGAGGAGGCCCCCCCTCCCTGGGGGCCGAGACCGCGCTGCTGCTCCGCGCCCGCGAGCTGGTGGCGGCCGCCGCCGCCGCGGGTGCACCGCCACAGCGGGGGCCTCAGGTCAGGCGATCGCAAACATGGGTCCAGGGGGCGTGGATTAGCGACCGGTCCCGTTTCCATGGGAAATCGCTGATTTCCGCCGCCGAACGAGGCGGCACCGGCCGCATTTTGGGGAGGGCACCTCCCCCGATCCATGGATTGGCGACCGCGCGCCAAATCCATGGATCGCCAATCCATGTTTGCGCGCCCCCGATCCGGGTGGCCACGGCGGGCGCGGCCGCCGTCGTGGGCGTCGTCGTGGCCGCCGCCGTCGCGGGCGTCGTCGTCGTGGTCGGCTTCGCGTCGGTTGGCCGTCGGGGGACCTCGGCGGTCGCAGCCGCGGGCGTGGGCATCGTCGGGCCCGCCACGGCGGGCACAGCCGCTGTCGCGGGCGCCGTCGCCGTGGACGGCTTCGCGGATGCTTGTCGTCCCAACTGTGATCACCGCTGTGGTGACTGAATTCCGCGTAGATGTGCATAAGTGCATACCTGTATTGTTTCATTCATTCAAGCATACATACACAAACACAGACACATACGCATACCTAGATATACCCCTACGTGCATGCTCACATACGTGTACAAGCATGGATACCGACAGACATTCTACGCACATGCATACATATACACGTGCATACATACATTCATATGTGCATCCATACATGCGCACACACATGCATATTCACATGCATGCATGCATGCAAACACGTAGTACATATCACAGACTTGCGTACATACGCCCATACACAAACATGTGCACACGTACATACCTATACATACATACGCACATTTACGCACACGTATTCACGTACGTGCATGCACGAAAACATGAATGTGCTCATGCATACACACATTCATACATACATACATAGATGCACGTACATACATACATACGTGCATCTAGACATATGGGTACCCATATATACATACATACATACGCATGTGCATACGTACATGCGTATGTACGTGTGTACATTCGTACGTACATCCACACACGTGCGTGCGTCCATACAGGCATGCATGCAGGTTCATACACAGATATAGCATATATACACATACAAGGACATCGATTTCCACCTCTTCAACACACTCATACATACATAGTCACATATGCCTTTCTGCAGTTTCATTTACAAACGCACATGTATATATACACAAATGCATCGACAGACATACACATCGATGCCCGCTCCTGGCTTACATGTTGGCTGCAGGTGCCCTGATTGTCTTGCGAGGTGTTTGATGTTTGCGCTGCGTGGGCGGAGCCCATGTAGCCCAGACGTTTCCACGCACACACCATGTCCTGGAATTTCTACGCCACCTTCGGGATTTACAGCCACCCTCTCTCCTCAGCAGCCACCGCGGTGATTCAAGCAGGCCGTTGTCGGCCTACGACCGCGAAGCAACAACTGAGCAACGCAGGATAACGGGGCTGTCTTCGTGAGCGATCGAGCTGCCCGCGTAACACCGCGTGTAAGAGCTCCCTCGTTTCCACGCGGCGTGCCTCGCTGGCGCCCCGCATAGGCCACCACAAAAGGTCGCTACGTCACAGCATCTCGCGTAAGACCTCGTTTCTTTCCGTCGCTCAGCTCAGGATGGCGCCACCGTCGTGGGCATCGCCGTCACCGTTTTCGCGGGCGTCGTCCGTCGTGGTCGTCTCGACGTGCGCGCCCGGGCGGGCTGGCGGCCGCGCGACGTCGGAGAACGCGCTCAGTGTTCGCATTTCCTTCCTCCGGCCCCACCGTTTTCCTCTTGCATGTTGGGCAAGCTTCGATGGACTGGGGTAGTAGCGTCAGGATGGCATAAAACACGCATGGCATGAAACCGCCTTGGGCGCAGTTGCCAACACTGGAAGCTGCAAGCAGGTGCGGGCGTAAAGAGAGCCATAGAGAAGCGGAGAAAGACGAGGTGCCCGCATGGGCATGGAGTAAGGAAGCCCTCGACCTCTGAGGGGCCTCTGGGGCCACTGGCGCCTGTTGTCGTCGTTGTCGTCGTCGCGGGCGTCTTCGTCGTGGGCGGTTTGGCATCGACTTGTCGCCAGGGCCCACGCATCGAACAAATTCGATTGCCTGGGAATTGGGGAGGCAGCAGCCGGTTTCCTCCTCATTGTTCGTAAGCCCGACATCGATCAGCTATGATCGTTGAGTCTATCTCCTCGTTCTCCTTCTCGACAGGCCACGTTCCACCTCCTCCTCCTCCTCCTCCTCCTCCTCCTCCTCCTCTCTGGGGTCAGGTCCAGGCTCCAAGCGTTCGGACGTCCTCGGCGGTTCCTGGGGGTGCTCCTGCCACGGGATGCGCACTGCTCACTGCTCGTTTCCTTTTCCCCTCGGGGGCCTGCTTCTCATCCCGAGGCGTTTTCTGACGGTCCTGGGATCGGCGCTGGGGCACCCTGCCGGCGCCTCTTGCGCCGCCCCTTTGCGCGCTGGACGCGCCAGGGAGGCGGGGGGATTCCAGCGCCGATCCAGAAGACTGTTTTTGTTAGGGTCCGGCGATAACCCGGATTATCGGGCTTGCCCCCCCTTCCCCCCCCCGCCCCAGGATAACCTAATTAACCTTGCCAGTTGTGCAGGTCCGGGGTGGGGGGGCGCGGGTTTATGCAGGGCTGCCCACAGCGCGAAGATTAGGTTATCGGCCGGCCCCCTCCCCCCCCTCCAAGATGACCCGGGTTATCGCCGATTCCCCCCCCAACAAAAACGGTTTCCAGGAAGTCCTCGCAGCCGTCCGACAGTTTAGATTCTGGCTTCTCGTTCCTCCATGACCTCAGCCCCCGCCGATCCTAACCCGCGGCGCGGGGGTTGCAGGAGGCGCCCCCGGCCCGAGGTGTCCCCAGGACCTCCCCACGAGGACAAGGGGGTCTTATGGGCCTCCCGAGTGGCGCGACAGCCTGGGAACGTTTTTGGGGGCCAGCACCGCCCGGACCCGCGGTGCTGGCGCGCCGCCCTTGAAGGCGCCCTTTGGCAAGACGTCGTCGCCGTCGTCGTCGTCGTCTTCGTCGTCGTCGTCTTCGTCGTCGTCGACGTCGTCGTCGTACGTCGTACGTCGTACGTCGTACATCATCGCAGTACGTCGTACGTCATGGTCGTCGTCGTAGTCGTCTTCGTCGTCGTCGTCTTCGTCTGCGTCGTCGTCGTCGTGATCTTCGGTAGTCGTCGTCTGCGTAGTCGTCGTCTGCGTCGTCGTCGGCATCAGTCGTCGTCGTCGTCGTCGTCGTCTTCGGCCGTCGTCGTCTTCGGTCGTCGTCGTCTGCGTCGTCGTACGTCGTACATCGTACGTCGTCGTCGGCGTCGTCGTCAGCGTCGTCGTCGTCGTCGGTCGTCGTCATCGTCGTCTTCGTCGAACGTCGCCTTCGTCGAACGTCGTCGAAAACGCAATCAAACAACTGCACAAACCTTCACTGTCGTAGTGTACGCTTGGATGTCTTGGATCGGCGCTGGACCCCCTCCCTGGCGCGATCCCGCGCGCCAGGGGCGACGCCAGAGGCGCCGCCACAGGGGCGCAGTGCCGATCCAAGAAGTCCGCGCGGCCTGCCGACAGTCTACGCTTCTGCACTTGCTTCTTCCTCTTGCCCCGAAGGAGGAGGAACCACATGAACATAAACTTTTGGCGCTCTGCGCTGGATTTCGTGGATCCGCGTCTGGGCCCCCCGGCGGCGCCTCCGTCGCCGACCCTGGCGCGCTCCGCGCGCCAGGGAGGGGGGTCCAGCACAGATCCGAGAAATCCGCGCGGAGCGCCAAAGGTTTGTGTTTATGTGGATGTTTCTTCTTCTAGTGTCGAGCGTCGAACGTCGTCCAGCGTTGCTGAACGTCGCGCCAGGGGCCCCTCGGCCCCCCTGGCCCGAGGTCAAACGACTTGCGATTGTTACCAGTCGCCGAGAGCACAGAGCGGTGGTTGCGACGGGTCCGCCTGCGTGAGGCGTTCGAGAAACGGCCTCGCCTTCGCCTTCGAGGATCGAAGGCGTTGGCATCTCTTCCTCAGCCGAAGGACGGCGGAAGCTGGCTGAAGAGAAAATCGGCCTTGGCAAGGCTGCTCAGCTCAGGGCTTCCAGAAACCGCCACGTCTGACCTCTTTGAGGCCACGGCCTCCGCGCCATGCCCTGCTGGGCACGGGCGGGCCTTGGGGGTTGGTGCCTTGTTGAGCGCGCGCGCGACCTTGACGCTCCGATCCGAACGCCAGAATTTGGTCGGGCATGTCCCCCTACAGGCGGATATTGGATCAAAAATCAACAATTGCCAAACATTATTCCCAAAGTGTCAAACATAGTTTAAAGAACGTCCCTTGACTATTTTCTGACTATTCTTGATGATTCCTCCGGTAGAGGGACAGGCCCGACTTAACGCCAGAGTCGTGTTCCTTCGCCCCCCCTCTCGCCCCCCCCCCCTTGCCCCCCGCAGCAACGGGGCTGGTCGCGCAGGCAGACGTCCCCCCCCCCCCCCCCCCCCCGGGGTGCTGGCCCGCCTGCCCCGCCTGCGTTGGCCCATGGGGCCCCTCGGGGCGGCGGCGCTCGCGGTGGGGTGGGGTCCTGGCCCCGATGGGCTTGAGCTGGGCCTGTCCCTCTACAGGAGGAACATCAAAAAATAGATTGATTTTTGGGGTGTTTTTCTTCAGCATTTGGGGGCATTTGTTTTGTGCATTTTTTGACGTTCGCACAAAACCCCCCTGCAGGGGGGCACGCCCAGGCTAACGATGGGCCCTTGAGCGCAGGAGCAGTCCAAAGAGCAGGCCCTCCCCCCGAGTCGTCACTTCGCGAGTAGTTACTTTGCAAGTAGTGGAACGCGCTCGTGTACTCGCGGTGGGGCGGTCCTGGCCCCGTTGGGCCCTTGAGCGCAGGAGCAGTCAAAGGAGCAGGCCCCCCCCCCGCCCCGGCCCGAGGTCCATTGCGGCCCCTCCGCTGGGCCCCCTCGAGGGCCGCTGGGCGTTCTCGTCGCTACGGCGCGGCACGGCGGGGGCCCCCCGCCAGCGCTCTGCTCCGGCCCGCGGGGGGAAGGGAGAAGGAGGAGGAGGAGGAGGCGGAGAAGGCGGAGGAAGGAGGGAGGAGGGAGGAGGGAGGAGGAGGGAGGGATGAAGGAGGAAGGAGGATTTTGGATTGCGCTGCTGATGAAGCATATGGCCTGTCAGCTAATGGCGGCGCTGCTGCTAGCAGAGGCAGTCAGCACAGTCAACACGTGTGGCTGTACTAAGAGGCGAAACTCGCAAACTCTGCACGGGCACCTGAAGTCAAGTCAGACAGTAACTTCCTCCAACCAACCTGCCAAATCCCATGAATCCCACCCAGTCCCATAGTATTAACTACGCGCACGACTGGGTGCGGGGCAGCAATGTGGACGCAGAGCGTCTGGCACAAGGCGGCAAAGGATTGAAACTTTCAACCGTGGCCAGGAAGTGGCGGCGGCCAGGGTGGGCAATCCTGCGCGGTTGCTCTCGGCGTAACCCTGGCCGCACCAAGACAACACGCTTGACAGAGATGTACACGCTGCCTTAACCCCTCCTCAAAACTACCGGCCACTCCCACTCCCATCCTTATCTGCAAGACAAAAGCAAGAGAGGCTGGCGGCAAGCGGGGGCTGTGGCGTGCAGCCGCATGAGCGCCTGGCTGGCGGCGCGCGGACCGACGGACACTCGGGGGTTCGGTGCCACACGCAACGGGTGTGTGGTTAGCGACGGACTACGCTCACCGAGCCCCCTGCCGCTGCCCCCCACGGGCCAAGGCTTGAAGCTTGACAGTCGGTCGGTGACAGAAAACGCGAGGGGGCGCACCTCTGTCCAGGTTGACGGTGGAGAGAGAGCAGGCGAGCGGGTGGCAAGCAGGCGGCGGCGGAAAGAAGCAAGAGAGGCAGGCACATGCCTCTCTGAACTCAGCACGTCCGCCCAACCTGACATACTCCACCCCCTCCCGAATACATGTTGCGATCTCCTCGACCGCTGTCAGCTCTCAAAACAGCTGCACTGAACGACTTTACCTCGGCGAGCGCCGCTGTGGGGCGGGGGCTTCGCGAGTTCCTTTCGGAGCGCCCACTATGGCCCCCTCCCCTCACGGTTCGACCCTCGGTTCGGCCGACCACGCTGACTCTCGAGCTGTCTACAGTTGCGCACGTCAACTGCTTTCAGTGAAACCTGTTACGCACTGTCTGAAATCTATTGTCAGCGAGAGAGTGGGCAAGCGGGCGGGGCAGCACATGCAGGCAGGCGTGCGCACGAGAGAGCAAGAGAGGCGGGCTGCCGCTCTCTCTGACTGTTGCTACACTGCCTCGCTGCTAAAACCTCCGCTGCCCGACCAACCAATCCCAACACCCAGCGTTCCCTCCATACTACAAAAATCACCTGAAACTGCTGCAATCGGATACTCCTGGAAACTGAAGGTGGCCGACAGACACACATCCATGGTCCAAGAGAGGCTGCCTGCAGAAAAAACTGATCCACACGAAAGTTAGGCCTACTGTGGCGCAACTCTGGAGGTCAGACGGCTATGGAATGCAAGCTCATTCAGCGGACGTGATTCCAGCTCAGCTCGAAACTGACGGTTGAGCTGGGGGTTATCTGTATACCGCCACGGGACTACCCAAACGGGGAGGGCACGCATTAACCATAGCACCAGCCACAAGCAAGGACTTCGCAAAGCTCGAAATACTGGCAACATAGGCGGAGAGATCAAAGCACGGCCGCACAAGTACCCCACTGTCAGCCTGCTAGCCTGTCACCACCCAAGACGGTGGTCCACCCAAGTGCCGTGTGCGTGGCGCGGGTGTCTGTGAGCATCTAATAAGGTGAGATAAAAGAGGCAACGCAAGGCTCGAAAGACGAAACATTTGTGAGAGCAAGGCCAGGGCTGACAAAGTGCCTGACTGAGAAAGCAATCCCTTACCCATCCACTACCTACCCCAGAGGCCCTCCGCCCAACATCCTATTTACTCATGCGCATTATCAAACAGCCCTACCCCGAAATCGGGTTGGAAAGTCCATGGGGCTATTCGCTGAGCGAGTCGAATCCGACGTCGCTCTCTAGCTTGCGCACGCTTGGTAGCAATTAGGGCACGCAACTCTGGTGTAATCTCAGCGGGCTGTGGGGGCGGCGGGGGACACGGAGATTGGGAAACGGGTACAAGGGGCGGAGCAAGCGAGCCAGGTGGTGGCAACTCAATGCCATCCAGGAAAGCAAGTACATCTGCATATTCCTGTTCCTCTGAGGCCTCGATCGGGCCGGGGTCCCGCGGCTCCGCAGTGGAATCATACACAACGCCTGCGTCTGCAAACTCGGTGGCTAGCGATTCGGGGGGGAGGAACCTGTGGCGCTCTGGATCGGCACGCACCTTCCGGGACCGAGAATCGACAAAATCGGGCGCCCAAGACTCGTCAGTACCGAGATATGGGTCCCATGCTACATAAAAAGCTGACAGGGACCCACGAAACTCCTCCTCCTCCTCCCTCATGTCCTCTGGCAGTGTATCGTCTCCACACGTCGCACACATATGGTTGATCGCGTCTGTGATACCGTCGGCCAATACTCGACATAGAGCAGGAGGGTATGTCTTCTTCTTGGCAGTACGCCACTCGTCTCGGGCCCGATCGAACCCCATGAGTACCTCGTGGGCCCCCCGTCCGTGAGAACATCTTCCACGACCTGGGGTCTCCAGAAGCCTGCCAGAAAGGGTTTCCATCCGCAGCGCCAGAATGCGGGTGGGAGCTCGAGCAACCTGGCCGTGTTCGCATTGGTCGAAGTCTGTCACGGTCGCGGCTGGGGAGGCCATGATGGCCCGTAGGGGGGGGCAAAAGAAAGAACTCACTGCTGCCTGTCTCCAGTCGGCTGGCATGGGATGCTCCATCCAGCAGCAAGTGCCCACAATCAAATGTTCGGCGAAAAGCTCAATCATGGCTCCAAGGAGCTCATTGCCCACACGTAGCTGTTCCATCTGGCGCGGCGTAACCGATAGCAGGCCCCAGAAATCGTCGTGGGAACGTAGTGGTGGGGGGCCCTTGTCAAGGGCCCAGCGCGTGGCAGCCCGTGTTTCGCACGGGGGCCCTCCTCCTGACAGCGCAACACGTTTGGCACGTATGTGTTCCTTCCAAATGTCTGGGGATTCACGGCGCATCATATTGCCAAGAACGGGATCGATAGCGATATCGATCGAAAGTACGTATACGGCGAAATCGGCATGGTACTCCTCCATTTCTAAGCAAGCCTGAATATCCCCAGGACGGCGTCTCCCACAGTATAGGTTTAGTATGTAGTACTCTGACCGTCGGATCGCTGACGGCAGAACCTGAGCAGCTGCATGTGTATGCTGCTCGGTCAGATACATACGCGTCGGATACCGCTCCGTCTGTACTGGCGGGTACTGGGCGGGTGGGGGAGCGCCTAGGAGTGGGACAGGGGAAGGTGGCATGAGTGCCGCGCAGGCGGCAGGTGTGAGGTAGGGGTCCGATTCAAGTAAAACCTGGCGGGCGTACTCCTGTGTAACTAACGTCGCTAGGTCGGTAGCCAGTTGAGTGAGCGGCCCAAGTAGCCGCGTCGTGGGTACGATCACATGTCGGCGGGGAATCTTGATGTGGGGTATAGCTCCGATTGGTCGAGGTGGTGTAGTCGTGTCGTCTAGGTGGCGTGCTGGGTTGTCTGTAGTTAAGAGGCCGCCCAGTAGGCATCGAGGGGAATCACTCGACAGGTGGTCGATGAGGTGGGGTCTGGCGTTGAACTTTAACAGACACACTGCACATGAACCGTCCCTAGCAGCATAACCGCGCGCAAGTGTCGCAATCTGTCGGTGTGTACGGGCGACGTGTGTGCGCATTGCTCGATGTCGTGCGAAAACCTCACCGCACCATGGGCACTCCATGGTAGCTGCCTGCACGGGAGACGGCGGTGGGACGATTAGCCCGTGCTCGTCGGTATACACACGTTCTGGCACACCTGCTGGCCTTACAGCTGCAAAAAAACTGGGATTCCATGTGGGAAGCAAGCTCTTTCCTGGAAATGTACTGGGTGTACGCGTGCATCGCCACTTGTATGATGCGCTTCCAGGCTGTCTGACTTCGTCGTATACATGTTTCCCAGGGTTTGATGTCTTCAGCTGGGGCTGGTAGGTCCTGGCACTGTTTGACGGCGCATCGTAGCCAGGCAAGGTCCTGGATCCACTGTCCAAGAGTAGTGCGCTCGCGTGCGGGGGCATCGGAGGCAGCGCGCCACTCTGCGGCAACGAGGGAGAAAACGAGGAGAGGCCCCGTATGATACAGCGAGCCGAGTAGTCGGAGACGTGCGGCGCGGAGCGTGTTGGCGGGGGTAGGTCTGCGCAGCCTCGCAAGCACAAGGGCGTCGGACACCTGCGAATCATGTTCCTGGAAGCGGACTCGAGCCGCGGCTCGGTATACCTTCATGGTTTCCAGATGGGCCAGCTTGGCCTCCGAGGTCGTTGGCACTCCCCACGCCCCTGCATTGTAAAGTCGCCCTGACATGACCAGACTGTCGGCTAGCACAAGTCGGCGGTGTAGTGCTAGGTCGTCGGTCGAAAAAACACGTCGTCGAAGAACCTGCAGCGACGAGGCTGTCGAGGTAGCTCGGTAACGTATCTCGGGCAGCATCGCAGAGTTCGCATCGATCACCGACCCTAGATGTACGTAGTGGTGTACGATCGGCACACTGAGCTGTCCTAGTATATCCGAATGTCCCGTGACCCGTCCGTCGTGCACGTGCCGTGTTGTATGTCGTGCGTCCTTGGTGCCTGGCCCGCGCCATTTGATCAGCGCGGCAGTCTTAGACGGCCCGATATTGAGGATATGTCCACGGCGCGCAAAGGCCTCTGATACTATAACCAGCACCTGACTGAGCGCATCATACATCTGTTCAGCAGGCAGCATGAGCACGACTGTGCCATCGTCGGCATATGAAATGTCAACGAGGGGGAGGTCCGCTGGGAGGTCGGGGCCTGTACCGTCATTAACGAGCGCGGTGAT